TTCCCAGTGAATGATAAGGGAACAGGGGTCTCTCAGGGATTACAGAGCGGAAAAAAAACTCTTCTTACTTAGGGAATGTCTGTAAAGAAGAAATCTCTCAGGAGTGTGTCAGGCAGACAAATGACAATATTGATAAAAAACAAAAACAGGCATCTTCAGGCACAGCTGATCAGACTGGACTGCTTATAGTTCTTGACTCAAAGGTTTAAATATCTCACTTCTTCTTCTTCTTCTTCTTCTGTGGTATTAAGGTGGCTAATTACTCTCCGTCTCACTACCGGATGTTGCTGCCAGATCCAAAATGGTGGGCCCAAATGGAGACATAGATGTGATACGAAAGGACTGTTAGAAAATATTCTCTCACAACCTAACAATATTCAAAATGACTCCAAGCATAATATTCACAATCCACTGCAGGTCAGCATATGCATGTAAGAGTAATCCTAGAAATTGATTTAAGAAATCTGTCTCCATCTCTGTTTGTAATTGGCAGAAACACTCAGTCAGCTGTTTGCGCCGTGAAGGGTAGGATGTCTGCGTCTTTCACACCAGGATTACAGCTGACGGCGCATGTGACCTGAAAAGAAAATTAAAGCTTAAAAAGTCCCGTAAGGGAGGGCGGCTTGATGCTGCAGAATGAGACGTTCGCTCCTTAAGTCACGCTGACGACACTCTTCGATGAGGAGGGTGATGCACAGAAAAAAAATAGAATCAAATTTACCTGTTTTCAGCATCAGTGGAGAGTTAAAAAATGAATCTGGAGGAGGCCGATGGATGTTAGTGCCTAACATAAATGATAGACTGAGAAATATTTTAAATGCTGTTCTTGTATAATTGTATAAAACTCATCAAATCAGTAGGTTAAAACTTTACAAAAGCACCTGATTGATAACTGGTCGCCTTTCAATTGATACATCTCGACGGGCTTAACACAGCGACGATAACCTCATAAAATAACAAGTCGAAGCAGAAAATGATGCTAATTTGCTCCTGCTCTAATAGCAACCACGCCCAGGGGTACATGTGGTTCACCTGCCCTACAAAAACAGGAAACAAGTTGGTTTGCAATCGCACAGCTGCAAGTTAAGAGTCACGCAACTTAACGATGGGTTGAACAAATTGAAAACTGATGGCAAAAAAAAAAGACAAATAAATATAGCAGTTCTGCTATACAGTGTGAAGACGTGCATCTCCACGTCAGAACCGACAATTCACTTCGGCATCGCGCATCTGTCTACGTAACGGCGACTACGTTGCTCACCCAAACCTGTTCAGTTTTCAATTTTCTGTGCAATTTCAGAACCAATTTTCAAGTGTGTCTTGGTGTTTTGAAATTCAGAGGAATAAAAATGTGAATGTAGCACCTAATCCTCGACACACTGGTTAATCGTGTAATGCTGTGTACAAGCGATAAAGAAAGCGCCAAGTAGGTTCACGGCTTAGTAAGGCTAAGTACAAAGGTGGTGTCTATTAGTTAATAAGCTTCAGTGCACTCGGGTTATATTTGACTTCCTGTAGGCAGTCACACAGCTGGCATAATGCTCACGTCTGCTCACCGCGAGATAAAGTGACAGACTCCTGGCTCGTCTTCACTCATACACACCCTCCTCTGTCTGCTCTCTGATCTGATGGATAACAGGATTTGGTGTGCTGGGATCGTCGCGGTACACAGAGTACCTCTCAGGAAATTAAAAACTTTAGATTTCTTTGAGGAGCCATGATAAGGACCTCCAAGCTGAGCGTGACCACCACGTTAGATTTCGCTTTTAAACTCCCGTCCTCCTGATCATTCTGGCACGATTCGGGCATCAAAAGGCTTCCCTCAGTCAGAAGATTGTTTGGATCTGATGCCCTCCAGCTGCTCTACTGTTTCAACAGGGGGTTTGATCATCTGTTCTGAATTTGAAATTCTCCACACTTTAAAATTTCACCTTGGGGGCTCCTGCCAAACAGCCTGTCACGACGGCTCTTTCAGCTCTGCCTCATCCAGTCGGAGTAGATGTGTGCCGTAAGTCCCTTTCTGGAACCATGGGGTGTGTACTAAAGGTGAATCAGGACGTTTCTATTGTGTATGAGGGTAAATATGAGTGCACATTATTGCTTTTTCAGTTCACTGACTCCTACTAGTCAGGAAAAGTCAGTGAGCCACGAAGGACTTGCGATAGGCATCTCCGTGAATCAGCACATCGTCGTCTGCGTATTTAAGATGAGGTGACGGAAAGTGGCCTATTGACTGATGGTTGAGCTTCATGTTCCTGACCTCACATGTCTTCAGTCCCTCAGACGGAGCAGATTGTGACTGTGTGAATACAGACCAAGCACAAAGCAAGCGCGAACAATCCTGCAGCGGAACAGCGCTGCTTTAAAAAGCTCGCTTTTCACTTCAGGGGTCTCTGCATAAACACGTCCCACTAAACATACACCAGCAATTCCCTGTCACTAAAACGAATAGACTAGAGGCTTATGCAATATCTCTCCTTTCGTGTCCAAACACTCGCGACCCAGAATAACTGCCTTATCACCCAACAACGAATATTTAAAGGAGTTCACAGCTCATTGCCATGCTCGAGTCATTATCAAAAGGCCTTCTTCGCCGCCGGCGCCTGGGCCGACTTTCACGTCTGCTCTTATCTTATCCATGCCAAAAAATGGCTGCAGGAAGGCTTTGTGATAAAAAGTGAGCATGGAGGGCCTTTGTTGGTTTCAAGGAGATTTACTCAGTCACAGAAGTAAACAAGGCCTGAACAATGTGAGTTTTTTTCTTTTAAGGCATGTGAAGTGAAAAACTTGAACTTCTCTCTGGTTGCTGCGATAGCCACAGCGGAGGCCACAGAGGGGGCTGGACGTTTTGGTCCTTTGACGTTTTTACTGATTGTGCATTAATTTGTTCCTACAAGGGGGACATTTTGTTCCCACACTGACAGCCAATGATTTTGATTTATTTTTCTATCATTTCCTCATAGCATACTGTATTGAAATGCAGTAAGTAACATCTACCTGGTGAAGGTCATTATGGTTTAATCAACAGGCAGTCTGTCGTGTTTAATGAGAATGAACGGACATCGGAACAGTCCGATACAAAGTTTTTATAAAATAACACTTAATTACAGTCAATGACTATTAGGGACACCTTACTAGAACCACACTGAACCTCTTATTACAGATTTAATAAGGTACCTGAAGTATTCATTGGATTATTGGTCCATACTGATATGACAGCATCGCTCAGATTTGTTTACTGCACATCTTTGACACAAAATGTCAGTCCAGTTACATCCCAGAGGCTCTCTGTTGGGTTGGGATCTGGTGATTGGAGGCTAGAGGAGTACAGGTAACATTTGGTCAAATTAAAGATGTATTTGGTGATTTGAGACTTGTTACTGGATGAGTTCTCCTGCAGGAAGCAGCCATCTGAAGATGGGTAAAGTGTGGTAAAAAACTGATGGATATGGTCAGGACCGTTAGTCAAGTGAGTTGTGTCATTTCATGGATTATCAATCAGTACTGAAAGACCCTGATCTGTAGTTTCCACTGCTGAATAGCTAACCAAAGTCCATTGTTCCTTGTTGTGCTGCTCAGTGGAAATGAGGCAGAAGTGTGCCAAGAAAATATCCTTCACACCGTGGCACCATGACAACCAGCCTGAGGCGCTAATACCAGGAAGGATTGATCCATTTCCAACATCTTAATACAACAGGTGAAAAGCAATGGCTTTCTGTTGAGATTTTGTTGACCTCCCATTGGCTGTTTCTAGCCAATGGGGTTACACCCGGTGTGGGCATCTGCTGCTGTAGCACATCTACTTCAAGGTTCGTAATGCTGTGCGTTAGCAGACTGTATTCTGGAAACATTGGTTGCAGTAAGTTGTTATATAAACCACTTTTACCTTTTTTTTAAATCACATCCAAATACTCTGCTCAGTCTCCTCTGACTTGAATCAACAAGTCATTTTTGTCCACATTCATAGGACTTAGTAGTTACTTCCTCTTTCTTTAGACCATTTTCAATAAATCTTACATTGTTCGAAATGAAATTCATTTCAGATCTATTTGGTTTCCAACAACCAGACGACATTCGACGTCAGTAAATGTCCTTCCTTCCTGTTTCTGGTGTTCAGGTTTAACCTCAGCAGTCATCTCCAACATGTCCAGATGCACTGCTAACATGATTGGATTTATTTATTTTTTTGCTCTTGGTGCTAATAGAGGAGGTGCATCTTCTAAAGGGAAGGGAAGTCATGTACAGTTTGCTTGATATGATTGTAAGAGCAATTCATTTCGTATGCTTTCCTTAAAGTTAAGAGCAACAAACACTCCCTGTACAGCCACTTGCAGTCAGCACACTTACACAGCGCTCACCTCAGTGCAAAAATCACAAAAGCTTCACAACTCCTGCCCCGGGGCCAGTTTTTGCACAGGCAAGGGCAGGATATTTTTATTCCTTTTTTTCACAGAAGAAAAGGAAAAGCTTTTGTGTTGAATGAACAAAGGGAATTTCCTTCCTCAACTGCTTCTCTCCCTCTCACCATGGATCCTATCATATGGCACCGCGCGTCTTCCCACACGCCTGTTTCTAAGCTACCGGCAGCGTTGTCTGCCAATCCCGCTTAATTGCCTCCTGTGTAAAGTGACAGCTGATGAGCGAGCAATGAGAGGGAGCTGTCCTCGCCTGTTCTCGCTGATCAGAGCCTCTGCTGCCTTTCCAGAGGATAGACTCCACCTGAGAACCAGTCGTTTCTCCCCTTTGGGGGAATAAACAGTAACGCTGGCCTGGAGGGAAACTTCAACAACCAACATGGAAACTGGAGGAACATCACCAAAATGCACAAAAAAAAACCAAACATGTTCTCATTTACAAAACTACTATGTGAGGATGAATAAGTGAAAGCAGGAGGAAACAATGCAAGCTTGGAAGGGAGAGAAGTTTTTCAGAAGCAGAGGCAAGAAAAAAGAGAGAGAAGGAAATCACAGTCATCAACGTTTGATGCTTTCTTTACTTACCTTGCTCGATCCTGGAGAAAAAGAAAAGATCCTCAGCTGCTCCGCCGCTCCGCAGAATTGGCCACCCTGTTGCTTCTTGTTTCCTTCTTCTTTTGCTGCGTCTTCCTCACAAATAGATCCTCCTCATCCTCGGGCGCGGGTCTGAAATTAACAGCTCATAAGAGAACGCCAGAAAACACACCAGAGTGGAGAAGAGGAGAAGAAACACACTCTTCTCACCCCTTAGTCCTCCTTGGCAGTGTTTCCCCATCCGTCAGAGCGCAGCAACTGAAAGTGTGTGTGTGTGTGTGTGTGTGTGTGCAAGAGAGAAATAGAGAGAGAGAGGGAGGGAGGAGGAAATGATACTCAATGGGTGAGTGAGAGGGTGTGAGAGAGTGGAGGGTGATCCTCTGTACAGTACTCGCTCCGTCTGTCTGTCTGTCTGTCTCCGGCGCGCGCATTCCTTCCCGACAGAAGCCACGGGGTCGGCTGCTTTTGCAGCAGCCAGACTTGGCTTCCTCCTGAGGGAAAAAGACTTCCTGTTCGCTCTCTCCTCAACTTTCCTCACGGGGTGAAGGCGGTCTCAGTTTGGTGGTCTTCTCGTTTTTAATAATAATCCCCCTCTCTCGTGCAATCATACTCCTGCTCAACAGTCTCCAGTTTAGACTCGAGAGCATCCCAGCCAGCCTCAATGTAATTTCCTCCTGTCCGGACGCAGCCCATGCAGCGGTTGCTTTTCTTATGAGGTATCTGCTGTGATTTTTTTATTTTTTTTATTTAAATGCCCACTCTGTGACACAGCAGTTTGCATTTTCACTAGTTAATTTATTTTCTTTCATTTACGCTTGAGTTCAATACGGAAATCTCACAAATTTCATTGAAAATTCTTGACTTTTAATGGCCAGAGAGTACGCGCTGAGGGTGCTCTCTGGCCACTTTATTAGGTACACCTGTTCAGCTGTTTAACACCAATCAAAGCATTTAGTCGTCTAGTAAAGGCCATTTGCTGAAGTTAAAACGAAACGTTAGCGTGAGGAATAGAGGAGGATTTATGTGACTCAGTCTTAGTTTTAGCTGCAACATTCAGTAGTGATTAAATCAACTAAAAATCAGACATGAACAAGTTTGTTCAGGCGGTAAGTCATTGAAAAACATCCTCCTTCTACCGCTTGCTGTTGTTCTCTTACATCCTGATGTTGATCACATGACTCACGTGACGCGTCAAAAGTCTGTGGAATACACTAATTTTGATACAACTGGAAAAACTCCCTCACGCTTGTGCAAAAACACATTTTTAATCAAATAATTAGTTTTTTTTTTATTGGCCTGTTTCCACTAAGCAAATTAATTTTTTTGTAATTCCAATTCGCACAATTATGCGGTGAATAGAAGAGCAGCTATTGTTACTGCTTTCACAATAGCAGCTCTCTGCTGAAGAGGCTTCTGAATCTGGACGTTTTATGTAGTTTCAATACGCAACTGAGTCGTGGTTCCCCTGACAGCTAGACAACAGGTGGTGCGGATCAGAAATGCCACTTCATTCCTAATGCACCTCAACACTGGAGCCTCACAGCACGCCTGCCAAACCCCCTCCTGCTCACCCATAATCCTACTGACAAACATAAATCAAACACCCTCATTGAATTTACAGATGACATCATTGTTAAAGTGCTGCTGCATGACAGGGTGCCGCCGTTCGTGGAGCAGGGACGACAATCGGGAAAAACAAGGAATTCTTTGAGGAACAACTTCGGGAGATTCAGCTCTGGATTTCGCTGGTGCAACTAGAGCAGGTTGGTAGATGCATTGGCCCCGGACCTCGAAGCTCAAACGGGGACGATCAGATCGGCAAACTGCATTAGCTGGACCCAACTGGCAGCCGTCCAGGACCTCTATAGACGGCGCTGCAGGCAAAGGTCGTCTCCAAGCCCTCCCATTAGGAGAGCAGGGCAGACACATCCGGCAGGATGTAGATCTGCAGATTCAAGAACCGTTTCTGTCCACTGTCTATAAGAGCTACATGATAAAAATGGCAACTAAGAACTGATTTCTGTAATTTTTACTTTCGGCTGAATCCTCGTTTTCATACTGGCAATATGCTACATCCAAATACACTTCAGTGTTTGTTTGAAGTTTTAATTAAATACCTAAAATATTCTTTTAATTGCTAATTATCAATCACTATTTGCTTTTGTGCAATATTAAATCTATCTTTTCATTCTACAGAGACAACTGCAGTTAATTTTAACTGGATGTTATGAATACATGTTTATTGTCGAAGCTGATTTACAATCTCTGGATTCACTTTTAAGAAATGAACCATAAACACAAAACTTGGACGAAATACAAAGATATAAAAAAAAAATACAGTAAGCTGCAAATGTAATTTACTGGAATACAATTTAAATAATTTAAATAACGATGGATACAATTTATGGGACCAGAAAAGAAGCCAACGCTCACATTTCATTTAAAAAAAAAAAAAAAAACGGTCACAAAATTTTTACGGCAGTAGTAATGTAACATTTCTACATGTACAGTTGAAACCAGAAGTTTAAATACACTAAATAAATAAAAAAACTCACTGCGTGGAGTTAAATAAATAACTAATTATAAGGATAATTTATGGCAATTCACTTGATTGATTCAGAATAATGTAAAATAAAAAACACAGTCATTAGGAGGAGATGCTTTTTGAGCCGTTTATTGACATTAAGCTACTGATAATGGCGGCGACGTGTTCTTAGCCCTTTGCTAGCCACTGCTAAGTGCCCGTCTTGCAATGCTCCGCTGGTTCCTGATGTGTCACTGCAGCTGAAAAGCCAAAGCGAGTCCCCTGAGCGTGGTGAATTCTGGGTCAGCATGCACACAGAGCGACAGATCAATGAGGTCCAACCCATTAGCGAAAGGTGATCAAAGGGTCAAGCTCACACTTTCTTCCATTCTGTTGATAAAGTGTCAAAATGTCTCTCAGAGTTGAACGCCAGAGCCAAGGTGACGATGACCCTCAGTCAGACGAAGAGTGAGTTTCTCGGAAGTTGGGAGAAACGGAGGGCAGGGGGGACATATGGCCGCATCGTCTTGAGCGAGCGACGCCCCCGTGGAGCATGGTGGGCGCTGCTCCCGCACACACAACAACATGCAGGAGGAGGAGGAAGAGGAGGAGGAGGAGGGAGCGTTGTGGAGGGCCGGGTCCTGTCCAAGGGAAGATGAGCCGACAGGGCTGCCTGAAGCCCGTCTGTGTGGCGATCGGCCTGTATGATGTTCAGCCAGGAGGAAATATGCAGGGGAGAGATATAATGCGTCCTTTGAGTGCATTTGTGTCTCTGCGTGTCCACCTGAACGCCCCAGTCCATTTTTAGCACTTTCATCCGCGAGCCCAGTCCTATTCCTGCAAGATTTAGTGCATCTCCAGCTACTTAGTTAATGAGTGGCATGACCAGTGTCGAATCAGATCTCTGTTTACTCTGCAATTTCCTTCTTGTGAGCGAAAAACAAGCAGGAGGCTATTGTGCAACCGCACAATATCATTCTATCTGTCTCCGATGATGAAATTCTTGCAGGGATTTTATACGGAGCCCCTCCACCCACAGCGGCATGAAGTAAACATTACACATTTCCTTCAAATCCTCATGAAACACTGAGTCGCTTGAAATGTGCATGGAAAACCAGCTCGTGATGTACGAATGCAAAGCTGCGTGGTTTGTTCATCCGTCTCAAGATAATCCCTGTGATGACTTGTTTCGCATCTTGTGACGTTAGATGAGTCATTCGGCACCTGATGTTCCCCCCCTGCAGGTGGGAGCGCTCGCTACAGAGAGGAAAAAAGCCCAAAGTTGGTTGGTGACCACGCTCAGGTGTGGGGTCATGTCTATGACAGGCTCCTTGTTTCGACCGTCTTCCAAACAGCTGGGGGTCGGTAACGACACGACTGGGCCTGGGCGCCGCGTTTTGAAGTGTGTGTTCTTCTGAAATAATGCTGGACTTGGACAAAAGGATGAACTTATTGCAGAAATCAACTAAAAACCCATATGTTCAGAATACAGCTGCGAACTTAAGTGAATATTGTCACCCTGAAATAATGACCTAAGTCAATGTTTTTGGCAAAAAGGGGGAAAAAAATCATAAGGTTGATTTGAGTTAGGCCATTGTTTTAGGAAGGTGATGATGTGGTTTACTTTACTGCATTCAGTTTGTTGTTGGTTGAAGTCTATCAGCATCCAATATCATAGATATTTGGACAAGATATAGACTTTGTCCAAATCCTTATTCATTGTTAATTTGGCTGCCTGCTTCATGATGATGATTTCCTGCATCCTTTCAAACACCTGACAGTTTAAAATCAGACTGATGTTTGGAGTACGGCTGCAACGACACATCCGGCTTTGAGTTTCATCGTGACGACAAAGAGTCTTTTTTTAGTCGCTGTTCACTGGTTTTCATATGTTTTTATAGAATCTGTAAATAATTCTTGTGTCTGTGTGGGTGCAGTTTTACATGGGGATTAAATTTGAATTTATCTTCTGTCTGAGTAAAAACTCTCAGACATTTTAAGTTTTTTTTTTCTTTTGGGATGTTCAAGAGAATTAAAAGTGGTGTTTCTAAAAGCAGAGACCATTACACCAACAGCAGTGTTGACACAAATATGATTTGAAGTCTTTCAAAAGGAAGAACTAAATAGCACTTATTTGGAAATTCAAGTCTATTTTTTCAATCTCTGTAATATTTTTTCCATCGTTAAAGCCCCAGGCAGAAGACATGGATTATATTCTCCATTTAGAAACATGAAGACGGCGGGTTTAAGAGACTGATGTAAAACTTAGCAGAGCTGTGACTTAGCGTCTTGCAGCTGACGCTACAAAGTGCTGCGGTATTTATAAGACAGAATGTTGATAAGTCTTTCTCTGGGGGCCGCCTCACGGCACAGACGGAGGTCAAACATGGAACGGGGAATTGTACAAACCCCCACAAGTCATTGCGCATCTTCTGGTGTTCGGATGAAAACGGATAACAGGAAAGTACGCCGCAAAGCTACGTTTTTATTAAGAAGAAAAGTGAATAAGACATAAAAGTTTTCCGATTACTCATCAGAGTTGATGTGTAACTATTCTGGCTGAAGGTGTTGCAGTCTTGTGTAAAACTCTCGATTGCGATTTTGACATGTTAATGTGGACCAAAAACAACAACAAAAACCGCCAATGAAATAAACCTCTCTGTTGGAAAATCTTCCGACACACTGGTCGCACTTTTCCTAATTTAATGGAGTGTGTTTTCCTCATTGCCTGAAAGCTGTAAACCTCATTCTAAAAGCAATGGGGTGTCACCTTTAATCGGCAACTGCTAGATTCAATCACAAGTCGTTTAGTCGTTTGAAACGCTCCAAGATTCCCAGAACAAACCAAACAAACCTCATCGTGCCTCGGAAAGGTTGGCCGGTGCACCACACCGTAAGTCGTTGCTTCATTTAAACATTTGGACAAGGTTTGAAACACACACACACACACACACACACACAACAACACCTATTTACATAACTTCATTTATCGGCATTTATTTACAGATTAAGTCGATGCCAAGTCAAGGTTTTACCCGAGGACGTCCCTGCAT